TTACAGTCGCTAATGGAATTGCTTGTGCGGCAAGAGATAAGGTACGATCGAACGGAATGATAAGCTAATGATATCTATTGGCGAATCTTTGATAATGAGTAGGCATATGTTTCTTATCTCTAATGCAATCTTCATATCTCGATGCGATTTTATTATATAATTACTGGTGTCTGTGTCGATTAATTTTTTATGCTTGTGGCATACGTGCCTTAGTGTTATTGTTGCTTTCTTAAATTGATGCTTTTTTTTTATTTATTCCTTAGCAATGTTAGTTGCAGGGTACAGTGTATGATTTTTGATATTGTCTTTATGCTCGCTATACAAATATTTATTTATAAAGTTATTTGTAAATTAACGTCTAATTGGGGTGGATGATTCAGGCTTATTCGAAGAGAATAATTTTTTGAGTTTAGATTTTGTATCCTGTATTTTCGTATTCATAAGGTAGCTTATGGTTATTGAATTTGGAACTGTGTCTAGGCTATTATGATTTTTAGTAATTTTTTTTTTTAATTAAGGACAAAAATGACGTCAAGCATTTATGACAGATTTAAGCGGAAACTGTGTAGACGATGTCATTTGGTAAAGATCAACAATCAATTTCATATTATTTAGTTGAATTAGTTTGAAAATAGTCTTGATTTTTTGAAAGAATTATTTCATGAAATTAGTTATCAGGTATATTGTCATTGAATTGTCAAAATCATGAAAATTTTTTTTTAATCGGCCTCCTCGAATTTAAAAAAATTCCAAACACAGCGTAATATTTCACGTGGCGTTGTAATCTTAATAAAAATAATTACAATTAATATCTCTATTTATAGTGAAAGAAAGAAATCTCTTTCAGAAATGGTTAACACTGAATCATCTTGAACTGAATAATAATTTTCAAATTAATCTTACCGTCACCGTAAACCGGACTTTAGCCTGTCGAAATCGGTGGTGAGGTCCTGACTAATGGAATCACGCCAAGCCTCCTGGTGATACGTTTTTCCCCAGGACTATAACGAAAGGTCCTCTCGACCAAAGGACCTTTTCCTAGCAAAGGTTCGGGCAAAGGCCCAGGCACCGTCATCGTCGTCCGCGGGTGCCATGCATTATTTATGCGAGACGCTGTGCGCCACGGTGCCGGCACTGCCGGCAGTGCTGAAAGTATCACATTTATTTCCAGGAGCGTAACCGGGTGTAAGACATCGGGCACTTTATCTAGCCGCCTGAGAAACAGTGGGAGCGGCGTCGGACGAAAAAGCCCTAATATATATTACGGGACAAAGAGTCATCTCGAAAACTGCCAACATGGCGGCAGCAGTCCGTATTTTTTTAACGAAAAAAGACATAAAATTTACTCATACGCAAATAATCAGAAGATGTTTGATTAACGATTATACAATGTCGAGGAATTTATCAAAATTTTAACCACTGACATCTTCATCCTTTTTTTTGTAACTAACACGAAACTAACGAATAAATAATTAATTTGTCGTGGGTATATTTCGTAAAAATTATTAAAATTTGACGAAAAACATTTATAACAAAAAAACAGTTAAACGATTTAACAAATCGTAATGAACATTTTTTCGTATCTATATAATAAGTTCATGAAAACAGGAAAATGTCGGTTTGGATTTTTTTTGCATTCTGATATTTAAAAAAAAAATTAATTTTTTTTTTAAAGCGCTTAACTTTTATATCATACTTTATTCACGTTGCACAGTGTTAAAACCAAAAGTACAGATAAAACGTCTTTGGGACAATACAATTTTTTTTTATTTCAGTAAAACTATCTTTACTCGTTGAGTCTCGATCGTTCTCTAGATCGGAGGAGTTTCAGTCTCCACCCACCGATCGGAGGAGTTATAAATCGAACGGAATATCATGCATCACCCTTGAAACAAATTGTCTGATTTGATGCGAGAATCCGCAGGAGGGCGAGAGGTTTTCTTATCTTTTTTCTTCTTCTCTTTCTCTTGAAAAAGAACACGCACGCAACCCGTGTTGATCGTAGACCCAGGTACTAGCGCGCAGTTAACGCCTAGAGATACACCCGGCTCGTGTAATAGCTTACCTTCATCCACACGAGACACGGTACACATATGGAACACAGGTTATGCGTAACGTGAGCACAGGCTATATTTATAGAATGATATATTAATAAATTAAATAAATATTTAAACACTTGTTGCTATTTTCCACCAGGGCTTGCATCTACCTTGCACGTAATAGCTCGAGGGTGAGATCGTAAATCTAACGATTGCGCAATTAATTAACGACGAAACTAATGGATGACAAATATTGTAATTGAAATAATTTGAAAAAAATGTTATCCCGTAAGACACACGAAATGGAATAAAATATTAATGGCATTTAAATATGGCAGAAAAATAGCGGTACGTCCTACAAAGATCGAATTACCTTGGGGATTGTTTAACGTAATTGGACAAATCAATCTCATGATCGTAGGGTGGGGGGTTACTGGCATTCGGGCGCGTTCTCCTTTTGTGGCGTTTACATGCCATACATCTTGCAGCGCGTAAAGGAGTGCTGCGTTCACCAGGATACGCACTGCGGAGGTGAAGATACGTCAAAATGGAGGTTAGTAGCGATCTAATTATCTACGCGGCGGGAAGTGCGGCCTCCCCTGGTGCTATCGGAGAAACAGAGCAGCAAAGGGCCCCGAGTGGAACCCGAAGAGGCCCTGAGGTGACCCAAAGGATTCGAAGGTTCATCCGAGATATTTCACAGTCATCAGTGCGATTAAGGCAACTCGGTGATACTGGATCAGAAAAGTCAAATAAAACAATGCGCCCGTTCCAAATTTTTGTTACAATATAAAAAAAATTGATATTAAAAATTTGGAAAAAATTTCTCATCGACTACTTTAATTAAATGTAAATATATAATAAAATGGTGACGAACGACATATAGCGATCATTGATTCAGGTAGCGAAATATCTATAGAACAATTAAGTACTCTTACAAAGAGAAGCTCACCGAAGCAACAAGGGTAACATAAAAAAAAGAGATGAAGCTAAGCCAAGAGAGAAATCTCGCGTGCGAGAAAGAGAGAAGGAAATATCCGCGGTGACGGTCAGCGAGCGCGAGCTGACCTCTGACCCAGGCAAGCGTCGTCTCTGTCGGGGCCCGTGCTCATGGGGCCCAAGCGAGCCCCGTGCTCTTGAGCCTGGTCGCACTCGCATCGTGGCGTGGGCGAGTCGCGGGAAGGGTTCAAGTGGCCCGCGGGCGTCCTGAGACCGTGAGAACACCAACTATAATATTATTTAGTCTGCCCGTGCTTGCTTCTCTCTTTTACTCTCTATCTTTCCGTCCTTCTCATTTTCTTTCTTTCTCTGCCCTTCTTTTGCTCCCTCTTTCTCTCTTTCTCAGTCTCTTCTCATGATGCCCCACTCGGTTCGACTCGGCGCACTCTCCTCCCCCATTACCGGTCAACCACAGCCGCCGTGATGGGCCCCACTGGGGCCTCCATGTACCCCAACCAATAGCCGCCCCTGGCTTCTCTATGGAACCAACTATAGGCGCTATACACGGTTTACTCTCGTGCATTAATTGCCGTCGTAAATTGTTGCGGCTTTGCGGGACCCGCTCGAAAACGAAACGGCACGTTATGCCACGGGTTCTCTGTCCGGGAAGATGCCTTTTAATCATTCATTAATAACGATCAGAGATCGTCAACCAGACAATCGTTAAAATTTGGGTTTCAATTTCTATTTCGTCATAGAGATCGGTATGCACACACATAATTTCACACAATATATATATGTATATATTTTTTAACAGACTAGTTTTCAGGATTATTTATTGAGTTTTGGCAGTTATGAGGACACTCGGTGTTTGTCAGGATGAGCCTGATAGCTTCTTGATACGTAAGGTACACTTGTCAGGACCATAAAACGGCACTCATACCGAATTTTCCAAAAAATCTTTCACGCTAGACACTCGGAGTTGTGATGGGCCAAGAAATGATTTCGTTAGGTTAGATTAGGTTAAAACTCTAATACCACATATTTTTTTTTAGAGAAAAACAAATCGGTTTGCCGTTGTCAGTGCCACACGTCCTCCTAACAAGTTTATATATATGTATACTTGGACGTAGTATAGTATCGTATCATTGCCGAGCAGTTTCCTTCTTAAATAATTATATTTGTTGTTCTAGTGATATTTTAACGCGGATACTTAATTACAAAAAGGTTGAATCGTTAAATGCCTTTACACCGGATGCTCAACCGTGCTAAACACAGTAATAAAGACCGTTTATTGATTAGGATCGTTAACCTCGTTAGCATCGTGTATCTCCGCAATGAGAATAAGCTGGACGATACGTGTGGTAACTATAACTATGTTGTCAGAGTTCGTGCGATAGGTTATGAACCGATAACATCGTTTGAGGATCGTCTTTGTTAACGTATTATACAGAGGGATTATTTGCTCTTTTTTTCCCTTTTAGTTCTAGTTACATCACGAACAATAATTTTCCTTTCTTTCTACCGTGCGTCTGGTACTTCGTGTGTTATCAGGAAAAAATCATGTAATTATTTGAAGTATACAAAATTAGTTCTATAGTTATTGAAGTAAATAAAAAAATTGTGGTATACAAACACATATAAGGAGCCGTTGAATTTAAAAAAAAAATACAAAATTTAATGCTGGTAAGTAATCTGAAATGAAGTATAGACACTGTATAGGTCAGCGAGTTATCCTGTAGCTGCATCAGTAGAATATCGGATAAGCTTATTGCCATCGAGTTATCGAGATGGTGGTATATTAGAGAAGTTTACGTTGACTGTACAACAATGAAGGAATTCCGAGATCGTAAAGTTCGCCACGGTGCAACATGATAACAGTTACAAGTCCGACGTGGGTTATAGTTATTCTTCACTATAAACAGAGTGCTCTACTAACCTCATAAAATATTGAGTATACCTTCCGATACACTCTGTATATCCAGATACACGTGCCCAATGTGTTCACGAAGAATGTCGTTAGTTTTCTCAATGCAGTGTCATAAAGAGAGGCAAAGAAAGGAACCATAAGACTACCCTGGTATTATGGGATCTGACAGTTGCATAGGTTGTTGCGCGCGAATAGGTTAATTGTCCCCTTAGAAAGGACAACATAAACCAGCAACGAGAATCAGTTGGTATTAATACGCGTGTCAGTCTACCTGAACCAGGGGTTTGGGTCCGGCTTAGGATGAGGCGAGTGTGGCAGTAGGGAAGTTGTGGATCTGGGTAGCTAGGATCCTCGAGAAATGTGAAGGAGAGGAGAGGATAGGAAGGAAGGAGAGATGAAAAGAAGAGACGGAGGAAGGGACAGCGCAGGTAAGTACAGGCGTGTGCCTGGCCGTGAAACGCCATGAAACGGTACGTGAAACGCCGTGAAACACAGCTGGCCGAGCCGGGACTGACTACGAGCGAGGGGCCCATGGGGACGTACCGAGTCTCGTCTAGAGGTGAGATACCGGCCGCCAGGTGGCTCCACCAGCAGCGTCCAAGCGCACGATGCCCGATCAGTCGTCCGGGCGCCTCCGTATCGTGAGCACCTCGCGTTTGTTTGTATTCTTAAAACCGGCAGGAGAATGCAAACGCTCCAAGTATCGGCGGCCTTTTGTGAGAGATCGTAACGGCCTAAGTAGGATCGTTTGAGTATCTTTGAAAAAGTGACGAGATAATATCGCGGCCACATGTGATCTCCGAGGACGTGTCCTAGGGATACTCTTGAGGATCTTCGGGATCTAGACCGGAAGCAAGAAGCCAGGGCCTACTGGATCATGCAGCAGCAAGAGCAGCAGGAGCCGACGGATCTTCAGGATGTCGAAGCCTCGGACACGAGTGCGTTGGATCTGGGACCGATCGGGACTTTACCGAATCTCACACTTCAGAGTGTCGCTTTGGGACTTCAGGGTGCATTACTGGCAGCCCTGCAGAGGGCTGCGTTGCTACCACCTGGTCATGCTGCTGCCGCGGCCCTCAATCTTCAAGCTCTAGAGACGTACTTGACACTTCATAGGCTTCATGCCAGTTCCACGACTCCCACATCGCCGACCACCTCGGCGAACAATAATCCTGCGAGTCCGAGGTCTACCTCGTTACCGAGCAACTCGAGTTCCTCCACCTTAAAGACTGATCACCTCGTGGAGGTACTGCCGACATCGCTCGACGAGGATGACGCTTCGCATTTAGACTTCGTCACAGATCCCGAGGAGGATCTAGCACTTTTGGAAGAAGAGGATGCTATGCTACGAGAAAGTTCAAGTTCCACCTCGACGAATCAGGATATTCTCTTTCAAAGGATAACCGAAGGGAGTCCAGGAAATGTCAGTGCCGCGCCGACGGCACTGGTGTCCGTTGTGCCAACTTCCGTCCCAGCCAGCTCGTCCACAACGGATACTGGAATTGTCAGGCCGTGCAGAGCGTCTAGGCCTAAGAAACAATTTATCTGCAAGTTTTGCAATCGTCAATTCACAAAGAGCTACAATCTTCTGATACACGAAAGGACTCATACCGATGAGAGACCTTATTCCTGCGACATATGTGGAAAAGCATTCCGTCGTCAGGATCATCTTCGAGATCACAGGTAAGACAATCATAAAAAACGTATCTTACCTCGATTCCTCATTGTGTTCCCTGTCTCATCAAAGATACTAAATTTCACTTGACAAAGATTCACCTCATAAAATCAATCAGTCTCCATTTACCAGCCGTCGTTCCCTTAGCTCACAGCCTGAATCACTCTAATCAGAAACTACAATAGATTAGAAACCGAAAACCGGCCAGTTCCAAACCTCATCTTGTACGCATAACAGCGTTCTCGAACCAACCAATCCCAATGCAGAATCTTATCACGCTCAATCGAGAACCTGATAAGAGTACAGTCTGTCTGTCTTCGTCACCTAACGTAAGCGTTTTATAAAATACTTTCAGGTACATTCACAGCAAGGAAAAACCCTTCAAATGTGCCGAATGCGGTAAAGGATTCTGCCAGAGCAGAACCTTGGCAGTCCACAAAATACTTCACATGGAAGAGTCGCCGCACAAGTGTCCCGTCTGCGCGAGAAGTTTTAATCAGCGCAGCAATTTAAAGACACATCTCTTAACGCACACGGATATAAAGCCGTACCATTGCGCCTCCTGCGGGAAGGTCTTCCGTAGGAACTGTGATCTCAGAAGGCACTCGTTGACCCATAACCTGGGGGTAGCATCATCGCCGCCACCGCCATCCTCAGGAATTCCTGTACCTGGAACGAGTACCGCCGTCCTCCAGGAAACTTCCTAGCCCCTAAAATCTTCGAAGACATCGTAATACCCGGCAGCCCATGCGAATTCGTACCCGCCGTTAAAAGGACTTTAGAACACGTTAGCGTCTAATTATTATCGTCCATTAAGATAGGTTCGTGCTCACTAGATCTGTAATTATGTCAATAACACAGAGTATTACGTTTGTTAAGTGAATACCTGTGTATGTGCCTGTGTTCGACCGTACGTGTAAAATAAATTTTTATTATTATTTTTTAATAAGTGATCCTTCCATTGTTAGCAACGTGTCATAATCTCAGTAAACATCAGCTCCACTCTGGCTCGTCCTTGACTATGGCTCTGTACGCTTTTGGGCCCGTTGATCTCTCGACTGACATACTCACGATGATCATGTTAACCAAGCAGGGCCCAGCCTTCTAAAGATTCTCATAAAGGTCTAGTTCATCCAGTCATTTCTTGAGGTCCCCCATCTCTTCCTTCCTCTTCCTTCCTCCGCTTCCACGAAATTTCTCAGCTGATCACGATGAAGTCGACAATTTCATTCCTCCCTGATTTCTAGCCCAATCTTCTTGGAGGATGTGTACGGGGGCCAGACGATGGGACTGCGGCCCGTTGCGCGTCATACGACGTCGGGCTAATTAATTAGGCGGTTTTCTATCCGTGCTCGCAGTTATAAATAAAGGAACAAAAAGTTGAGTATCGTGTTACAAAGACAGGCCGCCAGGTGCGCAAGACATGACACCGTGATACGTCTAGGGTTACGTTTCTTTCTCGAGTGGGTCCCGCCGAATAGGGGCCTAACGCTGCTAGTGTCTTTTCAACCAGGCAGCCATCTACCTATTGGGGACCGATAAGCCGACGCGTGCAGCTTATTCGTATCGGGGCTCCAATGAATATCCTGAACACCACGAACACCGTTAACACACACAACACTCTGAACACCCACCGGTGTAACGAGCCCACCCCCTCTCCTCCGCCACCTTCATTTATAGTTTCATAATGCTGGTACGTTCCGATGCTTACCGTGACTTACGACGACATTACATCCGGAAAACGAAGGTGGAGGTGGTTGGTGCTGTACGAGAAAGTCCGAAGAATCTTCTCTGTTACTTCCACCATTATCCATTCTATGAACGGAACGCAGCACAGGAAGTGACGCGTAAGTAAATCGTTTGACTAGTGAGTTCGAGTCGAACAGGAAGTGGTTTTGTGTATATTCCTTAAACGAGTAAAAAAGTATTCGGTTTTTTTTTCTCAAGTGTACAATACCTCCACCATGTAACTTAAATCTGTTTACGGGTCAATTTCAATCTTTGCTTTTAGTCATTCTACAAATATTGATCGTACGATGATATACCTTTGAAGTACAATATGTATACTGTTGTATTTACGTATATGTTTGTACGTACCCATGCGTATGCTTGGTAACCTCCGTCACATTGAATTCTGAAAATTGATAAAAATCTAAAAATTTGCTTACACCATACACTGCTATTGAATTGAGTATTTTACCAAAGTTTATATGATCAAATTTACAATGAAAATAAATAGCACAAAATTTTGTCTTTCTCAAAGTTTGCGAATGGTTTCCCCTATATATATTAACGCTTAAAAAGTGAACAAAAGGGACAATCCCGGACGTGTTTATTGCCTAAGAAAAAAAAAAAAAAAAGAGTGGCAAAGTACCAGTGAACGAAGGATAGTGGCCCACGTGTCGTAGGTCCCCATGAGCATGGTAAAGTCCGAAAGGGCCCAAGCAGGTCCAACGGGCCGAACATGGCTGCCGACACGGTGGAAATTCGTGCCGCTATGCCCGCCGCGGGCGTTCATGTGTGGACATGGATACGAGGTGGAGATGTCCAGGCAGCCCGAGGTGTGGACACGCTCACATTAAAAGGAACATTCTTGGCGGTCGGTGGTGGTAGACCCACGGATACGTATCGTCCGTGCGTGGTGGATAAAAGGCAGACAGTAAAGTCACGCAAGAATAAGATTGTGAAGCGAGCCAGGCTGAGACACGAGTAGTTAGGTTAGGTTAGAGAGGTGGGTCCGATCAGGAGGTCACAGAAGGAGGATGGGGGATCCGGGCTCCACGTAGGGGCCCCTATCCTAGTGGAAAAGGCAAGGCACGTTATGGGGCCCCAAGGTAGTGGGGATTTCGTCGGTATGGGGGTTAACCATACCGTGAGGTGGGGAACTAGAAGGGGACACCGAAGACCACACGCACGCGCCGCCCACAGATACGCTATCACTCGCTACAACCGACGTGATCTGCATGCGCATGTCCTCCTTCATCACTAAAAAAGCCACGGACGCTTCCCTTTTCTCTTTCTTTTCTATTTTTTTCCCCTATAACCTTCTTTTTTTCACTCTCTTCCTTTTCATCGGGACTATCTGCTTAGTACTCCAGGGGGTTTGGCGTGGCTGTGTAATATTCCGCAGTCGAAATTTTGTCTAGGTAAAACTTCTTCTTTGTACGCATTGTCAGTCAGTTTTGTATCGTAACGAAAAAATTAACCTCTGCTTAGGTACATTGCGTTATGATGATTTGACGTTCCGTGGATTGAAATGCATTTGGATGACATTTTTTTATATTTTGATTCTCGGTAGGATCCACTTAATCAAATATCATTAGCTGTGCAAAGACGGTTGAGTAATTTATATGACAGTTGAAAGAACTGTCCCTTATCGCCGTATAAAGAAGTTTCTCTCAAGTGGTCCCGTGAACGGACTATGACGTGTTATGTCTAATCGATAAGTATCTGTATACATAGTCATATTAAGAAAAATCCATATTGGTGGAAAGTAGATAAATTTTTGAAATTGGTCAAGGCTATAAATTTTTTATCGTACCGGGAATTTACGACGTGCTTATAACACCTCGTGCATCTTATCAGACCTTATCGGGTAATGTTATCACACGCGTTGCATGTTTTCTTGTTTTATTAAAAAAAAATTTTATGCTCAATTTAATATGAGAAAATTATACAGTACTGGGAAGTAACTTAAGAACCATCTTTTTTTTATACGATAAAAAAGGGGTTTAAATCGTCAATGGTACTTTCACGTGTGTTACACTCTCGATTGCCGTGCGGCCACATAAGATCGTACATGTTGCTGCACTTGGGCCCCGCGCACACACTACACGTAACGTCTCCATACGAGTAAACGAAGTTGTACTAGCCGATATACGATCGGGGCTCCTCATGCGGAAGGGGGCCACCCGCAATACTCACCATGTATCGCTTAACGACTGCCAGTGGAATTTACGAGCGATATGAGACTTTTCGTAACTCGCGAACCTGTGCACCCACGTGCTCGATTTTAAAATCTTCCCCGCCATTTACAGTTCTGCCCACGGGCTACGTAAGTTTTCGATATCGTGTTGAGACAAAAAAAATTAGTGCCATAAGATGTTAAGATGCATGTTTAACTAAGAATTTTTATTAGAGTCATATCGTTTAATTTATAGAAAAAAAAAAAATTTAATTAAATGAGTCTCCGACAAAAATATCGAAGTTAGAACTCGGCTAGTGTTTAGATTGCAAATGGGAATTTTTGATTTTTAGTTATTATATCTCATATTGGGCCTATTCAAATTTTTCTCCTGTGCATCGATAATGCTGACAAAAATGATAAAAATTACGAATTATGATTTTTTAGCATTTTTCTTTTTTTTATACATCGGCATCCTCTCTGGTAGCCAAAATTAAAACTATGACTTGGATTACCACACAAGGGGTAACATATCAATCGAACCATGGATATCGAACCTATTCAATTTTTCTTCTTGCAAAACGTAAAGAGCCCACCCGCGAGAGCTATTACGCGCCACTTAAAGATTCGCACGAGAATTTACGATCAATACGGAACTTTTCGTAACTCGCAAAAACCCGTGCTCCCACGTATCGTCAACAGTTGAAATCTTTTTACAAAGGCTATCTTTACCCACGCCATACGAATCGGGCTACTTTAATCAATTACATACAAAAAACAGGTTTTCCCCATAGAACAAGCCTCCGCCAATGTTCTCCGAATGATTGAAAAAAAGTATTAAAAAAAAAATACAAAAAAATAATAATCATGCACATCAATCACAAGATCGGAACCGGCAACTGATTCCAAAGGGAAAAAAATAGAAAAAATTAAAAAGCAAGAAATTACTTCTTACACTAAAGGACATCAGAGCCGTTCCGCCAGCAAAGGATAAGAGACACGTAACGAGAGAATGGCAAAGGTCCTTCGGGCCCGTTCAGGATACACGAAGTCCTGAAGGAGGTCCGGTCCTGATTGGCGAGGTCTTTGCGATGTACACGGTGTGCCTACGAAATACGAACGGGCGGACAGGATGACGGACGGCAGGACGCCCTGGGCAACCAAGTGGTGACTCGCGTGCGACACAAACTAACACACTCGCCCACGCATCTGAACTTAGTTCTCCTCAGCCTTCGCCATCACCATCACAATCGCAAGCACCGTCGTAAGACCATCGTAACATCAGAAAAAGAGTAGATATACCTACCTACATACATAGATACATGCCGTACGCAACGTTCACTATGGTGGCTATATGGTGGCAAGCCGCTAAAATATCGGCGGTCTGCCGCGAAAGGTCCCGAGATTTTATTTATAGGGCCCTCCGCCGCTCTTCTTGCGGCCGACCAGGCAGTCCTAAAATCTCAACCCAGTGCATACTAACTGCATATAAAATGCACTTGGCGAATCCTCTTCTCTCTCAGCTGTACTCCAATGGTTTTTTATAATAGTATCTACCAACATGGTTATGGCAAACAATTTATCAGTTTTTATAATTTCGATGGTTAATCGTTAAAAAAATATTTTTTATAATTTTTAATATAATAGGTATCGTGTATCTTGAAGTAATTATAATAAGTGGTGCGAGTGTACGTTGACAGTGTTATGTAAGTTTTTATGAATTTTCGTATGGGATTTATTGTAGTATACATAGTATAATGTAATAAGTATATATTTATGGGCTTTCAATTAAAAATCCAATTAGTAAACGCAAATATTATAATCGTACATAATAATCATATGTATTACTATAACTTTATAGTATTTCATAAAATTACATCAGAATTTCTTTCATAAAAATCGCGTTACATAAAATTTAACGCTCTTTTTAACGTCGTTTAAATGAGCCTTCTACCATACGTAACCGCACATAACGCATTAATGGTTCTTATTGTGCATAAAATAAGTCTGGCAGTGCATAAAACTGGTCTGCATTGTCCGGGGGTAAATAAAGGGAAACAATAAAGCGTGTAAGTCTCGTCATTAAGTAATGCGGCACGTACTAAATCGATGCCATACTGAATGGACTAATATGAAAATAAAAAATACAGCTCTGCATTGTATACATTATATGTATACAGGGTGTTTACGTATAACAGTACTGGGTGACATGGTTGACTTTTTGTGAGAAAAAAATACAGAGACGTGTTTAATTATTAGATTTAAATTTTTACATTAATATTACAGTTTGAGATTTCTAGTCTGTCAGTGGTAAGTAGGGAAGGTTCACAAATAAAATACTGGGGTCTATCTTGCCGTTTTAGCCATTGCTCCGTTTACTTAAATTTACATTTTTTTTTTAAATATTCTTCACGGAAATACACTCTGACTGTGAGGCTTCTAAGCATTTATTTTATTCACTTACTGAGTACTAAGTGTTATTGTTTCATGCAAGGATAGTTAACAGTATATTATACTGCAAAAGATATTAATAGTACTGTATAACGATGCAACATTAATAAAATTATTAATAAACAGGCAAGGTCGCATTTCGCAAACTTATTATAGTAATAAATAAAATCAATCATTTGAACCGAAATTAAATGAACCGAAATTCAAATATATGATTGAAAAAAAATATTGAGTATTCTCCCAGAGAAGTGCGTTCTAGGGATATTTAAAATTTCAAAAAATTGTAAATACATGCAATAGATGCAACGGTTAACATTACCAATTAAATAAATTTGGGCATTGTGTCCGTGAGCCCATCCGACTGAACGCTGATAGGCTAATAATCCCAAATTTGAATATTAATTATCCCAAAATTTAGATCTAATAATTAAAAAATATTTAAGCACATGTCTTTTTGTTTTTCACCAAAAAATTCAATCTTCCTGTCCACATGCGGTTAGATCCGAACACCCTGTATGTATATCACGGCAGTGGGGATATGAAATAGCAAACAAAGAGAACCACAGGCGAAGGAACAAGAGGATCATGGTCGGCCATAAACGATATCCTGTAATATGTTACAACCTGTGGTCGTCTCGTTCTTCTATCTGCCTTCTCGTGTTTTGTCAGGACATTCGAGCAAGCGCGTATATTCGCCGATTCCGGCCGCAAACCGGCGAACCGGCAAACCAGACCGTGGTCCAAGATTTTGGAGTTTCGATCCTCTTATATTCAGTTATAGGACTGCAAAAGATTTACAATACATCCAGCTCGTGTTTTGGAGCTGACAAGACTCTCGGGTTACATTGACCAAGTTATCCACTACAATTCTTTGAGCCATTTTAAAGAAATTCCATGAGCATCTGGATTATCCAGCAGCCATTAATTCATTCTCGCCTTTGTCAAAGTCTCTACGAGCAATAAGAAGAATTATTATCATTTAAATTACACGATTACCTTTACCTTTACATACTTGAAACACACCTAATTATCCGTATGGATTGTAGGATTTTTTTTTTACAAAATACAATGCAAGCATTTTTTTAGAATATTTCTCTACACTTTCGGAAAAATTTTGTTAACTCATTATATTAGCCGACTGAGCGAATGCCGAAACAGCCTTCTGTCGCACATATGCAAATGCTCATTTTATTTCCTGCCACCATACAGAGTGAGTGGTCATGCTTTTGCGTTTAGGGTCTTTTTTTTTAAATTTTCCTTTTTTATTTCTCTTGCATGCTCTTTGTCGTTCTGTCGACAATGACGACTTGACGAGGAGTTCCACTCGGGTCTTCCGAGCTCGCGCACAAGAGAGAAACGGTAAGGGAACAACTATATTAATGGGGGAATGCCGAGCAACGCGAAGCTTTACGGATGAGGCCCCAAGATGCGCTATGCCATTTTATTTTCTTTCATTCACGGCCCTGGCTATTCTCGTACCGGTCGTACCCGGCTGACATACCTAACCCCTGTACCCGGGACAAAAGCACGACTGCGGTTTACCATAAGTCATCCATAAACGACCTCTTACCGCCTGGCACGTCTTATCACTGCAGAACTGCATACTCGAATTACGTTTCTTCCTTCGCATTCGTACAGTATTTTTATATTTTACTTCTAACTTCAAAATTCTCTGTCGATTTTATCATAACCTCAAAACGCAAATCACTTATCACTCCAAGACACATCGTTACAAAATTTGTTGTATGTAATTGTATACTTTTTAGAAATTTACTTATTTTTTTAATAAATAAAAAATATTAAACCTGCTTTTGGTACATGCTAAAAGTATAGCGAAACTTTCCTCGCAAGGACACTCTTTCGGAATGCACAGTGGTTTCAGGAGCAGGTAAGCAGCGCAGTGTCTATACAGAAGAAACAAAGAACTTTTCGTTGAAAGTGTCTCTAGCTGGTCCTGCTGTCTCGATCACTCTTTACGGGACCAAGCATAAGCGAGACTATAGAGGTGCAGGTACTCTAACCTACCTGCCATGGGGGAATGGGGAAGATAACGCAATCTTACGTGTGAATGCTCAAGGCGTGGAAGAGTACCTGCGCTCAATAACGACGAGATAACGCCGGCCGATAATTTACACGGTGATTCATGTTCTATCGCGTTGGAATTTCCAAATTAATTAAACACTCCGTGCACAGTTTTAATTTACCGAACCGTCCGGTCCCGCCTGTCCTATCCTATAACTATAGATATACCGAAACAACTGGAACGTGAAAAGGCGCGAAGATTTGAATAACAGAATCAAATATATCTATCAACATCACGCGGTAACACCTCGGTCCGAGCATTTATTACCAGATTATTATTTTTATTAATTATACAACCTGTCCTATTTGTGGCTATACGCGAGACAGGAAAATGCAGAAATTGAAATGTCTTCAAGATTTTTATCATTTTTTTCCCCCATTATCCTCGAACGATTATATTAAAGTGATATTATTATAATAAAGTATATATGATATAGGATAAGCATTTTGAAATGTCATATATTTTTCTAAAAGTGTCATTATCGACCATCCACACTGTCCGTATCTCTGCATTTAAATATGTATGCACGGGTACACAGAGGAAGTTATCGAGGGGTCGCCATTCTGGCTCCGAATTTTTATGTCGACTATGAGGCGGATTAGCGAAATTAATAAACGTAAACCTTTTAACCTAATGCTTTCGAGGGGCAAATAAATTCCTATTTATATTGTAATCGTCTCTCGAAGCCGAGTGGCTCCGTCGGACGTGAACCCAGACACGAGCCACATTATAGATGTTTCACCGCGTCATCACTTCGTAAACCTGTTGAATAAATTCTCCTACACCATTCCTACGCTACGCGAAGGCTCTCGTTATTAGAATGCATGTACGTACACACCGTACCAAACTCGTTGGCTACAGGCTCTTTCACCTTCCACCTTCCACGTTACACCTTTCACACTGCACCCTTAACTATCTTGAGCTCACACCTCCTATTGGCTACATGGCACGTACGACACACTCTGCCATTGGTTATTAACGATTAGAGCGCAAACGGATAAATTCTACGATAGACACCTAATTTTCATAACTTATTCTATGCTTCGTGCAAATCCTGCAAGTACTTTATGCGTGGTGCATTTTTGCACGCTGGTACGTAGGAATCCTCTCGAGGTATCATTTTGGAATTTATTTGAGACAGACGGTATTATGTGGGATTTGGTATTGTTTTTTTTTTTTTTTTTTTTTTATTAGCAAAGAGCGATTTTGTTTTACGCCCAGAAATTACGGTGAATCCTTTCATTTGAAAGTCGTATGTTTTTTTACTATGCTATATCTAACCAACGGAACGCACTTTCTTGTGAATTATATTGTGCTTAGTCCGGACTTTTAGAATTATGACTCGCCTCACGGTGTGTATCTGTCGCTTTTATGTTGAAAATTTTAATAATGCACTAGACTGCTGTTTATAATAATTATACTCGATACTCGTATAGTTCACGTGCGAGAGCTGTAAAATACGTAATCCAAGAATTTACAGGCAGTCTACGCTTTAACCCCATTAATAAATCCCTTGAATTCATAAATACTCCCTTTCATCACAAGCTTATAAATATAACACAGCATCTTTGACCCAAGCTCCAATCAGGTAACACCAGCCAAACAACCTTCGTTCCATATATCTTTCCGTTTTAGATTTCATCCCTTAAATTTTGCTGGTTCACAATATTTGAAAATTCCTTAGAAATTCCTCGATTCAATTATCAAATATTTTTTATCCCTTATACTTTAACCGATGCAAGGCCTTCGAGAAGTGCTTAAACTGCCCCTATTCTAAGAAGGTGTGA